CCAGCCGTGGCGACGGGGGACGGGCATCGGTATCGATATCGTCCCCTCCACGGATCCTGCCTTTTTGCGCCAAGCAAGCATCAGCGGCAGGGCTGCTGCCTCAGCAACACGAACTCTTACAGGAACGGACCCGGCAATAATCCCAAAACGACGAGCGCGAGACAAGAAGTGGCGTGATCAAAAGGCCTATGGACATCTGCACCCGAAGACAAGGAGAAATCTGGAGAGTAACTACCGCGACAGCAGGCCAGGAGTAGGCCAGGAGTGGGCTCCTTTGCCTTAGGGAAGCTCTTGGGCCTCGCGGACCCGAAGCGTCAGACAGCCTGTGCCCGGACAGGACCAGGCAGCAAGAGCAGTGACTCCTCGACCTCTGAGGCGCGGGAGGTCGGCAGAGACGGCGTGCAGGGCATGCCAGACGGTCTCTATCCTCTCTGCCCCGCAGGGGTCAGAACCTCACCAACCCACAGCAACGGCACGAGAGAAGGCATCCTCACGAGCCGGAGCCCAGATTACATGGACTAACGGCAACAGGCAGGCATGGGCACAGCGCATTTGTCCAAAACAAACAGCGGTCGCTGTTGGGCGGGCGGCTTCTTGTCTTCAACGAACGACGTCCGCGGCGTCGCGGACAGCGAGTCCTGTTCAAAACGAACAGGAACTGCTGTTGGGTATCGTATCCCATCTTTCCGTACCCTTTTTGATCGTCCCGAGATACGGTGGGGGCATTGGATAAGGAACCCTTCGATAACGAATCCAGGGTCTCGAAGCCAGTGGAGCTCCAATCGTGGATTGGCGAGCATGGATGTCACTGCCGCCCTCATCAGATAGCGAACCCTCCAGGGTCTGCAGCCTCCTGGGCGCATTCCTTAACCAACGCCCCCGCCGTACGCAACACGCAACACGCAGCTATGGATTCGGAGTTCAACACGCAGACTGTAAACGTGGGTCCGACGCGACACGTGCGCCAAAACGTGGGCCAACACACTGAGCCAACACGCAACGTATTGACACGCACGTTTTCAGCACGGTATACGTGTTGCGAATCAGAACGGGCGCACGTCGGATCGGGCCGCATCGACACGGGGCCGAGCTCGAAGCGGAAACGGCCCCGCCAGAATGCACAATGATGCACACTCGAGCCGTGCAACCATCGGGCCGCGTCGGATCGTCGGACTACCGGGATCGAATCGGCTCGGGCTGGCCGAGACCGGATATCGCATCGGATCGAGCGGGTCGACATATGGGGAAACCGGAAGGTACCGCTATACCGCTACTCCCCGTACCTCTCCCGGGCTGCGCTCTGACCAAGATTTCGAGGCGAATCCAGCGGTGGCGACGAGGTCCTCCCAGGAGGCCCCCAAAAAGGGGAGAACGAGGGAAGGGTAGAGGTATGGGTACCTCCTCCTCCTCCTCCTCCTCCTCCTCCTCCTCCTCCTCCTCCTCCTCCTCCTCCTCCTCCTCCTCTCCCTCTGAACACAGGCCCTGGTCTTTCCTGGCTGCCTGGGGGAGGGGAGAGCCCTTGCGGCAGCGCCGCCGTCCTGCTCCCGGGGGGGGGGGCCCTGGCGGGGGGCAGCAGCAGGCGGCGGGGGAGAGCGAGGCGCACGTCCGACCGGTGCAGGGAGAAGTCTTGCTGGGACGCACAGCGACGTGCTGATACGGGAGGCTCTCCCTGGGAGGCGCGCGCCCAACCCGAGCGTGCAGTGTGCCCATCTTGCGTACTGTAATAGGAGATCGTTTCCCGAGCGGCGTGGCCAGAAGACGCCCGCCACGACGCATGCACTGCAGGATCTGTCGGTGCGCGCGTCGCCCCTTGGGGGGGGCGACGCACAGATCGTATGTTGGGTTGACGCCGACTCGCTGCAGGGACAGCTGGAGGCACGCGCGTCGTCGAGCCCTGAGCTCATGGGCCTGTTTTCCACCACCACCACCATAAGTTGGAGGGGGGAAGAAGGTAGAGGATGAGGAGGAGGAGGAGGAGGAGGAGGAGGAGGAGGAGGACCCCCTCCCCCTCCCACTTATGGTAGTGGTGGTGGAAAACACGCCCACCCTGAGCTTCCTGAGGTGCCCCGGGGCTGCTGCGAGGGCCCCAAAACGCCATCGAGCGAAAAAAAAGCCTTCCGGGGGCGCCTGCCGGCCGGCAGCTTCCCTCGTCGACGTGCCTACTGCAGGAGGAGGAGGAGGAATGGAGGAGGAGGAGGAGGAGGAGGAATGGAGGAGCGGGAGGAGGAGGAGGAGGAGGAGGAGGAGGAGGAGGAGGAGGAGGAGGAGGAGGAGGAGGAGGAGGAGGAGGAGGAGGAAAGGAGGAGGAGGAGGAAAGGAGGAGGAGGAGGAGGATTCGGAGCAGGGCGACGGGCTGCGTCGGGTTCGCGTCACGGCTTGCCAACTGTTATGTCACACCATGCGGGCCGCTGCGCAGGGCTGGAAACATCGCGCCTCTCCGAGAGCACACACCTGTCGACATCGGGACCCCCCTCTGGGCCACCGGGGACCGGCGGCGTTCAACCTCGGACGCCCGCGCTGATGCCGCCGCCGCGCCGACGAGGCACGCACCTACCTGAGCGGCCAAAGGGGTCTGGCAAGTTCCTGAAGGGATTGTGGGAATTCTTAGGGGGGAAGCGGGGGCGGGGAGGGTGCGCGCGCGCAGGTCCTTGTACATGATATCCTTCTGCAGGCCGGCATTGTGGTTGAGCCAGCCTCCGGCGGCGCCGGGCAGCATGAGGCGGCGCTCACGAGCATGACACGGCGCTCATGGGCCCCCCAACAGCCGGGCATCTGCCCGCAGCCTTTGCAGACGACGGTGGAGCGTGCGAATTTTCCAGACTCCACGGGACCTCCCTCCATAGCCACGCAGGAAGCTTCACGGCTAACACGTTGCTAAGCTTCTTTCTTGCGGAGGAGAGGGGGAAGGGCGGAAGGAGGAGGGGTAGATGGGCAAGGGAAGGTAGGGGAGGGACAGGCGATGGGAAGAGGAAATGAAGCGAAAGAAGGGAAGTGGGAAGGGGAGAAAGGGAGGGAAGCATGGGAGGCTCGGAGAAAACAAAGGATACGACCAAGGGTAAGGGACCCACAGACAAGCGCAGGGACAGTAAGACCTCTGAGAAGAGACAGTTCCTCCACCGCCATTCCCCACAGGAGAGGGCACAAACAAAGTTGAGTTCTTCTTCAATCCAGATGAAACGTGGATCCAAGCTCGATGCAATGTAGGCTGTACTCACTGCTTCCGAGTGCACAGTCTCCTGCTGCCTTTGCTCCGTCCGTAGCCGCACGGTTTGGGACTGTCAGTATTGCCCCCGTTTCGGCTCTGGACCCTCTACGCCGCAGGGATCACCGCGGGCGAACAGGCGATATGAGCAGCTCGGAGAGGCAGCACCCTGGTCCATTGGCAGGGCGCGAGGCTACCAACTTGCAGTACAAAGGGCCAAGCTTCCAGCAAGGAGTCGCGCAGCTCCGACGTGTGATATCTACATTCTTCCTGATGGGGCATGGTTCACACAATGTTCAGCGTTTGTGTGATCACAGAGGGGGCCAACGGGATCATCCAACAGCGCCAACTGCAACAGTCGCACGGAAGGCTTTGCAATGGAACCCCCGACTGGGGACATCGGGTCTTCGAGTAGGTCCTGATCCGTCATTAGAACCAGGAAAAGCTTGTTCTTTTTGCCTCGGCAGCCAAGCGCATTGCCAACAGGTGCTGAGGGCGAGCGCTCCCAGCGTCGTCAAGCGGTGGATTGCGACACCAGAAGCCATAGGAGTGCTCCTCTGGTCCATGGTGGACCCACTCCAGCCCCCCACAGACGCCGCTTCTAGGAACAAACCTTGTTTGCCATCTTCAAAAACTCGTCGGCAACTAAGCCCAACCGTTTGGGGAACTCTGGCCGCCAACACAACATTTTGATGAACACCGAACTATGGAGGCTTCCAATACCGCTACGGAGGCCGCTCGTAGCATACCGTTGGAGCAACTTTTCAAAACTCGACAGGCGGTCCACGCCATAAAAGCGAAGGCCGGGCCGGGCGTGGACGCTTTGAGCCCAACTGGTGTGCAAAGGCTCCCAGACGCTGCAGACGCTGCCATTGCAGAATTCGCACAGCTATAAACGCTCATAGAAGATGAGCTCGTGTGGCCTTCGCAATTTGGTTTGACCATCGGTCGGCCCATACCCAAGAATGTAAATAGTGATGGTGTAATCGGGCTCCTTTCGGTAACTGCGCGAGGGCCCCACGTCAAGACTTGGTCGACAGACAGCGGACCCACCTGAAATGCTGCAACCACTGGAAACGTCGCACTTCGGAAGTTGGGAGTCAGGGTTTGTGGGGAAGCGGTTTGCGGAGCTTTGCAAGTACCTATGTGACATGGACGACAGTCAGGGGTTCTCTACGGTTCGATGGAGTGGGAGCTGAGAGATCCGCCTGTAATTCGTCGGGAGTTCCTGCAGTGTAATATGCCACGATCGTTGGGGCAAGAAGGAGCATTCCTTTTATCCAATGGCTTCGGGTTGGGATGCGATATGCTAGGTGTCTCGCACACTCAATACCATTGAAGATCACTGTACATAACCCATCCCGGCACGGGCACAGGTATACGAATAGGCGATGTGTCCCAACGAATGCCAGGAACTAGGCTGGCTGTTCGGCCACGTTGAATCTCAGGATTGTTGGATACGTGTCGTGCTCTCACACGGGAGCGGCTGTCTGTTTCGCCGAAGAATGTGGACAAGTGTACGTTCATCGGGGCTGCGAAACATATTGCCAATCGACTGCAAAGAGAAGGTTTCCGGGTCACTGCAGCCACAGAAGCAATTTATGCTGGAGCCGGTTTAAGAGGAGGCAAGAGGCACAGCAGGCAGGTTCGAAGCGTAACAGGTCAATATGCCAAAGCTGTACGGCTTGCTCGAGCGTCGAAGCGATATGCTAGCACCAGCAGGCTGACTCGAGCTGGCGCACTGGCCGCCGATATGTATGCTCACCAGCCTCGCGGAGGTTGTGGCAATTCGGTGCGTCGGTGCCGTCGGTAGCCTGAGGCCATTTGTAGGTCAGGCAAGCCAGGGCAAGGCCGAACCACACTGCTATTACCCTGAAGATGCTTGGGACGTTCGCCCATTCAGTACCTCACTACCCCTTCTATCAGATCTGGCATTGAGCACGCTTTGCCGCGTCTTTTGGAAACCGGGGTATCGCTCCAAGATGATTAGGGGACACGGTGGGGCGGTCATGTTGTGCACTATCGAAGCTGGGTGAACCCCTGAGGCTCCGTGGCTCTGGAGAGCCCCTGCTGATCTTGACGGCGACCCTTGAGGCATGGAAGGTCACTCCATTGGATCTTTCGGGGGACCCCGTTGAGGACGATCACGAACCACTTGGTGGTCTGTGATATCATCAAGAAGACATACTGGAGGGCGGCTGCGACGCATTTTTGCGGCGAGGGGCAGGCTGGTGCCGACAAGTGTTCGCTCAGACGTTTGCTACGCCAGCTTCGCATTGTTCCACAAGGCTTGAGGCTGAGTGAACTGCCCGTCTCTCGATTGCATCCGGCGGCTCCTGACCCAGGAAGAGACGACAGGATGAGATGGTGAGTGAACACGAGGTTGTATGTACACGTTGCGGCGTTGAAGTTGAGCCTCTGTTTCATCGGTGCTGGGGGTGTGCTTGTAATTATGGAGGCCACGGCATACACTCAGTCAGACCATCTCATCAGTGCAGCTTGCTCTTGATTTGAGTAGTCACCATGCTTTGCTTACGAAACCTGATTCCCGCGAGCGGGACGGAGATCCCGCCGCCGACCCCAGAGTCGCGGGAGATGTCACAGACTAATCCCACCAGCCCTCTGGGCGTCGGTGGTTTAGAGAGTTTCCTCTTCCACCCCTCCTTCTTTCCCTTCGGGGAGGGGTTTACCCCTCCCCCTACCCCCTCCCCTGGACCTGGACAGGGGGTTCCGCGAGTCGTCAGAGCGTCCAAAACGGCCTCGGCGAGGAAGCCCAAATCACTGGTTTTGCTAGGGTGTTGGTCCCATTTTGGCCTCCTGAGGGGGGGGCCCTAATTCGTCACCCCCCCTCCTGTGATCGATCTCACCCAAGATGCCCCAAAGATGGCCCCAAGGCTCCCAAGGGTGCCCCAAGAGGGCCACAAGAGGTGGCCACGAAGCCCCAAGAGGCCCCCAGGATGCCCCCAAGAGGCTCCCAAGGGACCCCCAAGAGGCCCCAAGAGACCCCCCAGAGGCACCCAAGATGCTCCAAGAGGCCTCGGCGAGAATGCCAAATCATTGATTCTATTAAGGTTTTAGCCACATGTTGGCCTCTTTTTTGGGGGGGGCACTGATTAAGATGACTCCAAGAGCGCCTGGGAGAGCCCAAGATGACCTCCAAGATGGCTCAAGATATCCCAAGATGTTTCATTATGGCTTCCTCTGTGTGCTGCCCACTTCCCTGATCGAAGCAACTCCTCTGGGCATCGTTTCTGGATGGGCTGGTGGGGATTCGCGAAACGTCAACAATTCAAGTATCGTTGATGAGGGCTTGGGACAGGGTCCGAAGATCAGCCGACCGTGGTGTTCGAAGATGCGCTTGGTGCTACAATGTCAAAAGGTTCGTGCTTTTGCGAGTCGGCATCGCCATCACGGTGCTGCCCAGCTTTGAACCTGGCGCTGCTCGGACCTCGGTGCTGGGACCTCTGGCGGGCTCGAAGCAGTCTGTTCCTCGGGGTGAACTCTGTGGGTTCCTTGTGGCTCTGGAAGCGGGGGCACATGGCATGTGTGACCGATTGCGACGATGTGAGTTATGGTTGTTAAGATCGCGCGCATCGACGACCTTGTGGCGCCATCAATCGCCTGTCGTACAAACTCTGTTACATTCTGGAACAGAGAGTCGGTCAGATCTCAATGCTGTTTATAAACTCACACCTCACCGAGGACCAAGCAGACACCGCTCGGACCCCTCGCAGGTAAGGCTGCCTCATCCGCCCGCGCGCAGGGTGATATACAGGCCAACATCATGATGATCGAGCGGGCAGCCTACCTCATCAAGCACCGCCTGCTCAGGGCGCCCCTAGAGGCTGTGTAGGCGGAAGAAGGGGCGGGAGCGCCACCGAGGGAGAAAGGACCACCGCCTCCTCCACCTCCCCCCCTCCGCCGTTCGTTTCACCAGGCATGTGCTCGACGATTCCAGGCATAGATGTAAAGTGCGCTACAGCCGCGATGTGCCCCCAAGACTCCTCTGATGGGCCGATTTGCCACCACCACTACCACAGGAGGAGGAGGAGGACCTTCAAGACCTTTAAGACATCAAGAGCTGTGTCATGCAGCCAGAGCTTTTGCACAACAGACCTGCAGGGAGTTCCGCTCCCACTGGGGAAAGGGCCCAAGATGCAGCAAGAGAAAGAGAGACGACCTCCTCCTCCTCCTCCTCCTCCTCCTCCTCCTCCTCCTCCTCCTCCTCCTCCTCCTCCTCCTGTGGTAGTGGTGGTGGAAAATCGGCCCATCCTCCTCAGGGCCCCGTAGACCCGGACACGCCAGACCCGGACACCCAACATCCCTCGAAACCAAATTTTCCAAACGGCGGCACGAACGAAATACTGCACTGCAGCATTTCCAGAATAAACCCGGACACAGACCTCAAAAGCCTGCAAGACCCCCCTAAACCCGGACACAAACCCGAATCCTGCAGTGCTGCAAGCAAAACGTGCACAGGTGCTGAAAAACGTGACCTTGCAGGAAAGGATGTCGTTTCCTTGGTTTTCCATGTCCTGGTTTGTCTGTGTCCTGGTCTCCGGGGGCCTGACCTCCTCCTCCGCGCCCCCCTCCGGATGCCTGGCCCCTCGACGCTCGCCCCGCGGGCCTCCCGGCCCGCCGAGCCCCCTCTCGCGGGGAGGCCCGCGCCCGACTGCAGGCAGCAGCTGGGGCCCTTCCCTGCCCTCCTCCTGCTGCTGCCTGCCCTCCTCCTCCCGCGTCCTCCTCCTCCTCCCGCCTCCTCCTCTCCTCCCCCTCTCCTCCTCCTCCTCAGCTTCCCGCGTCCTCCTCCTCCTCCTCCTCCTCCTCCTCCTCCTCCTCCTCCTCCTCCTCCTCTCCGCGTCCTCCCTCCTCCTCCTCCCTCCTCCTCCTCTCTCTCCTTCCTCCTCCTCCTCCCTCCTCTCCTCCTCCTCCTCCTCCTCCTCCGCCCCCCTGCTCCTCCTGCGACTCCTCCCGGAGCTTGCCCCTCCTCTTTCTCCTGCTGCTGCTCCTCCTCGGCTACTTGCCATTTCCCTGCTCCTGCTACTCCTCTTGCTGATGTCAGCGGCGATGGCAGTGAGATGTGTTTTGTTACCAAGCTCGTGCGCCCTTCGAGTCTACAGACGAGGCGTTGCATCCTCCGCCTTCGTGCTCTGAGTGCGTGCTCCTCCATATGCTGCTGCCACCCCGCATCGGCGGGTCTCCGAGGGTCTCACGGGGTCTCCAGAGGTGCCCTGGATGCCTCTGGAGAACTCTGGAGGCCTTCGGATGCCCAAACCCTGCCTCTTCTTCCCCCCCCCTCCCCCACCTCTCTCTCCCTTCCCAATTCATTCCTCCGACGTGCCGTATTCCTCCTTCCTTGAATCTGCCACCCCATCACCTCCCTATCGCCCCACTCCTCCCCCCTCCCTCCACAAACTCACGCAGTGAGTTCTGCAATTTTTATATATATATATATATATATGTACACAGATATAAATCGATGCATATATATATATACACACATACAATGCAGTCTGGGTGGCACAATCACAGTGGTGCAGTCTAGGCGGCGCAAATCCATGTGGTGCACTTATGTGATGCAAAGCAGTGCGCTGCGATGCATTGCAAGGCAAAGCAATGCGGCGACGGGCGGCCACAAGCCGCAAGCCAGCACAGTTGGCTCGGGGGGGAGATAAGAGACCCCGAAATGCAAACACTGCTTAGGAATGAATATACTACTCTCTTCTCCCCACACTGTCTAAAGCATGAATACCACTCTCCTCTTCCCGACTAAGGGCTGGAACTGAAAATGCCCCGCCCTGTTCGTGTATTGTTCTCATTCACAAGATTTGCAATCAGTGTCATATTGTATGATACGCATACAATCGGGACGTTCGTGGTGCTTCACAACGATATTCCCGCTGCAGCATGCGCCTCATTTTCGGATCGGCGCTTTGCTCCAGTCATCCTTACAGTAATGGCGCTCTCGCTTCAGCGCGGGCCACTTTCTTGAATCCGAGACTTTCCTCATCTGTGTCTCTCCGCTCATTTTCCATCCGCCTTCCCGGTCCTCCTGCTCCTCCCGCTACAGCCACCCCTGCTCCTGCTGCTGCTTCTGCTGCTCTTGTCTTCCTTTTCCTCCTGCTCATCCTCCAGCTCATCCACTACCTCCCCTTTCTCCTCCCCCAGTGTACACAACTCCCCTTTCTCTGATTACACGATGGTGACCTTTTGGGGGCTCCAGCCCCGCTATGACACCAATCGGCGGACAGCGAGAAAGTGAGTGCAATGGAAAGGGATGGGCCCTCCACCCTCCTCCCGAGGAAGGGAGAGAGGGAAGACGAGAAGGACGAGGAGGAGGATAACGACGAAGGGACAAGAGAAATCTCTTCCTTCTCAGATTTCTCCTCCTACCTCTCCTTTTCCCCCTTTTCCTTCCTCCTTCGGCAGCCTTCATCCTCTTCCACCTCCTCCTGTTTCCCAACGTCCTTTCTCGTTGAATTGAAGCTCGAGGCTCCCCCAATGGCGCCTATCTGCTTGGATATCTTCTGCGACGAGTTCGCCCGCTTCGCGAAGCCTCCCGTCTGCCTGCGGGGAGAATGCTCCAGAGGAGTTGGCTCATGGAGGAAAGGGGAAGAAGCAGGGCGGAGGGAGGGAGGGAGGGAGGAGGGAGGGAGAGAGGGGAGGCGGGATGACTGCTCCCACCGCAGACGCGCCAGCGCCAGCTCGCCCTCAAAGAAGCGGTCGGCAAGAGCCGCAAGACATACAAACGGCGTGAGCAAGGGCGGCCGCCGACACAGGAGTGTGTCCAGGAAGGTCGAGGGCCCAGGGGGCGGGGCAAGGGGAGCGAGGAAAGGTGCCGCGCCGGGGAGGAAGGGAGGAGGAGGCTGGTGCTGCAGCGTGCCGAGCTGGACACGGGAACAGGGCGGCTCTGGCTGCTCGCACCGGCGCGCGGAAGCTTTTTGAGTCTTCGGCCTGCCCTCAAACAAACGTGAGACCCTTGCGGCAGATGGCCCTGAAGAGCTCAACGCAGTCTTGAGTCGGCAGAGCGCAGGAGGGTCCTCAAGCGCGGGCAGCAGATGGAAGCGCCAATTGCGATCGAGCACCGTCGAAGGCACAGTATACGAAGCAAAGGGCGCTACACAGGCACAGGGCTGGGGGGCCAGGGATGGGGGGGGGGCTCACGATGGGAGGCGCCAACGATGGGCCACCAATGTCGCGGGCCTGAGCTGTGGAGGGCCACGATGAGCCATCGATTTAGCGGGCGCGGGCTGCGCCGCGATCCTGTTCCCTACCCTGCTGCCAGCCTTCGGCGGCGCCCGCCGGCGCTGCACCCCTGCCCGCGGCGTGGGGCCTCTCTTTCGCGCAGCACCTCCCGAGGAGCTGCGGCGAGAGGCCTCTGCCGGGCCCTGCGGTGCCGGGCGGCCTGGCCGCCGCGCGCCGCGCGCTCTTCGAGTCGCAGGCCTCGTGCCTCGCGCACATTCTTCTTCCTCCTCCTCCTCCTCCTCCTCCTCCTCCTCCTCCTCCTCCTCCTCCTGCTCCTCCTCCGCCTCCACCCCGTGGGCCTCTGCCACAGGGCCCCATCGCGCACGGGGCCCGGCTCCGCCCGGCGACCTCGCGCTGTAGCTGCGTCCGCCCCGTCTCCCTGGCAGCAGGGGCGGTGGGAGCCTTCCTGCCTGCAGATGCCACTCCTCCCCCCCGAGGCTGGAGGAGCCCCGCGTGACTGTCTTCGGCGGTCTGGCGGTTGGCCCCGCCTGTTGCGCTGGTCTGGGCAGGCACCTGGCCACTGCTCCCGGCGCAACCTCCGCCTCCGTGGCGGGACCGCCCCCTTTGGCTACGACCGCGCCTAGGCGTCCGACAGCTCCCCAGCGCCGCCCCGCGGTGCTGCGAACCCCCGTTGCCATCGGTCCCTGATCTAAAGAGGCTGGAGGAAGACGATGGAGGACGAGAAGAGAGAAGGGAGGAAGGAGGAAGGATAATGAGGGAGAAGGAGGAAGGAGGGAGGGAGGAGGAGGAGGCGGAGGAGGAGGAGGCGGAGGAGGAGGAGGACGAGTGTAAACGCAAGACTCATCAACGATATTGAAATAAGCTCTCCCTCCAAACTCTTTCTTCACAGGTTCCGACAAGGGCTCGTTTCCACTTAGGGAAGTGCCCCGTTGGGGGACAGCCGCTTGAAGATCCTGAAGCGTGCCAAAACTACATCCTCGGGACTTCAACGCCACGGATCAACCTGACTGCTGCAACTTAGCGATCCTGAGTCGGGCCAATACACCGTTCCTGGGACTTTCACACCGCGGATCAACGTAATTGTTCCACCCTGACGCTGCTGAACCGTTCCAAAACACCATGCCTGGTACATGTACCATGGAACCCATGAAACTCTTGCCAACTCTTCGAACGAATTTGCGCGGCGCTTAGGCGAGAACCACATGTTGAAAAGGAGTCGCCCTCAGGCCCTCAACCCGTGAAATTTCTGCAAGTGTTTAAGACGAGTGTGCGCGGCGCTACAGCGACAAAGGTGTGTTGAAAGGAATCGCTCTCAATCCGTGAACCTCTTGCAACTGCGTAAGGCGGATGTGCGCGGCGCGGAAAGCAGAGCCGCATTTTGAAAAGGAGCTGCCCTCAATCCGTCAAAACCCTGCAAATGTTCAAAACAAGTGCACGCGAGGCTAAGGCGAGAACCACAGTTTGAAAAGGAACCGCCATCAACCCGTCAAACTCTTGCATGATTCCAAAACAAATGCGCTCGGCGTTAAGGCGAGAGGCAGTTGTTGGAAGCGGCCCGCCCTCCGTCTGTGAAACTGTTGTCAAGTTTCAATACTCAGGGCCACAATTGGCAAGAAAGTCTTAGACAAAACGCCCAGTCAGCCCTTCCCAACTGGCCTCGGGGTGCGAGAGGGAGGAACTATTTGCAAGGAAACGGAATGGAGGAGGCGGATAATGAGAACGAGGGAGAGGAGGAGGAGAAGGAGGAGGAGGAGGAGGAGGAGGAAGGGAGGAGGAAGAGGAGGAGGAGGAGGAGAGAGAAGGGAGAGGGAGGAGGAAGAGGAGAAGGTGGAGGAGGAGGAGAGAAGGGAGTAGGAGGATGAGGAAGAGGAAGAAGAAGAGAAGGAGGAGGAGGCGGAGGCGGCGGAGGAGAGGAAAAAAAGGGAGGCGCGTGGTATCCTTCCTCACTCTCCCGCCAGAAAACGGAAACGTCCGACATTTGATTGACGGCCGGACCCGCGGCGCGCAGCGGCGGTCGCCCCCTCTGGGGCGATGGCTCCGCGCGCGGTGCCAAAAGGGATTCCCTCTTGGCGCTGCAGCAGCAGAGAGAGAG